ACCGGCAGAAAAGATTGCCGATGGAAGCAAAAACCAGCCAGTGGCCTCTAGCCACTGCCGGTGGTATGTGGGGATGCCTCACAAGGCATTCCCTCCCCCTCCAAGACAAAACACAAGTGTTTGGTGTGAAACCAGACACTAAACAGTCAAGTTCGGAGATCCTGAGGCAAGGCGCGCAGCCGAGATCTCCGGGAACTCCAAACGAATACAAACAAATGGTGACGTCCAAGTCTTGAGGACGGTCAAAAATGGGGTGTCTACAGGAAGAGAGAGAGAGAGAGTCGAAAGGGTTAACCGATTGCCCAGGTTTTCATTTTCCACAATTAAACAATTCAATGGTCCTTATCATTTCTTTCTAATCCAAGGGTTAATATTTAGGGTGCATATGGTGTGCAACCTTAAGAGGGTTGCACATTTAAACAAAACCCAAAAAAAAAAAATACTCGGAATGTGTTGAATGATTATGAGATTCTTAGTACACAGTAAGAGTAATATATCAAAGCATAGTATTATGGAAAGAGTTTAAAGGGGAATATGACATACCCAATAGTAATTTTGGACATTAATTTTTTTTTTAATTTAATTTTATTGATTTTGGGTTCCATTGGGGGAGGGGAGAAGGAGATTGGAGCATGGCATCATCTGAGGTTGGAGGAATAAAAGAAGGATTGGACAAGAGAAAAGGGATGTGGTCACAATTTGACCACCGAGTGAAGGGGAGATGTTCATCAATGTGAATGGACAACTCAAAAAAATAAACAAATGAGAGATGATCATACTGAACTGTTGCAAACTCCCCTTTTGTATGAAGATGCATCTCCTTCTTTGATTCATTCACTTTTCCATTAGCATCAATGGATTTTTTATTTGTTATTATTTTTATGGAGGAATTTAGGGTTATATTGAACTCATCTCAAATATCAACAATCACTTACGATCTACAATATTAATTAAGATCCAGTGCAACACCACAAAAATCAAAATCAAAATTCTTGAATTCACAATTTATTGCAAGACAATGACCTTTTATCATTGGGAGGAGAATTAATCCCTTCTTTTTCGCTTACGCTTTCTCTTGCTTCTTTCAAATCTAATAATGAGTTTATTTGGCCCAGCTTTTAACAAGTTAAAAATGGATAATCAGAAATCAAAAATCTAAAACACCTCTCCCCCTACTTATTAATAATTAATTTTTTTAGTTTATTAAATTATTTCTACCTCATGAGTTATAAGTAAAAATGAAACTAAACACTCTTAACACATAATTTGAAGAAGAAAAAAAAAACTATATATATAACTTGATAAGTTGCACCAAACAGTTCTAAGGAAATTGGGCATCTCTCTCCTAACCAATAAACTCTAATGTCACAAAATCTTTGTTGGACTTAAACATGACAATGGAGTTACATATTGTGACAAATAGAAAATGCTGTAAAGAAAAAAATTTGTGCCCATACTTAAAAAAATAAAAAAATTATGCACAAAATTCATATAAATTAAAGTAAGAATGACATTCATGAATCAAGATATTAATATGCCTTATTGCTTGGAAGGCCTTTTCTGGTAGTCAGCTTAAAACTAGTTTTTTGGGGCTTTTTAGTACAATTTTTCCGTAACATAAAAATTTTATAATTTTAGCAGAGCATACTTAAAAAAAAAAAATTTAAAAGTAAAGGTGGGAGCATCCTCTGCATATGCCTTACAATACCTTTATATTAATTCTTCAAAAATTCTTCCCTACCAGATCCCTTATACAACCTCTTAAGTTAAGAATTGCTACAGCCACTCCCTATTTGTAGGGAGTCACTGTACCTCCCTCATATCTGACAGTAGTCGTCCATCTAGATGTCCCAGATGAAGGGATCTGTGCAAAACTTGTTTCGCCAGTTCTCCACTTAGAAGTCCGACCGAACGTCCTCCCGGATGTCTTATGAGCAAAAGATTGAAGAAGCAAAAACAGAGGTCAACAAATTAACCAGGTCAAGAACATCAACAAGGGATTTAATTCCATTTTCATCCATGGAATTGATATGATCCTCCACCCATTTCCCCAAAATCAAATATAGTTCAAGAAACCCTCTCTGTCTGCTTTTGTATAACAACCTACATGGACATATAGAGATGAAAATCACTATCAAAATCACTTAAATACTTAATACACAAATGGCATTTTTGTAGAGAGAGAGAGAGAGAGAGAGAGTGCCTAGAAAGAGATTGGGAGAGGATAGAGGAGGTGGTTCGAGCATGTATGGATGTCGAATTGACGATTCGTGGGATGTTGAGCAGGAGAGCTCTTCTCATATTCACCATTTTTTTTTATATATTTATGAACAATGCTCTCCTTCTACTTTCTTCTGCTTTTTGTCTAAATATTTTATTATTAAAAAAATATTCAAATTTAAAAATAATTTAAAAGACTATTTTAATAGAACAGAGAAAGAATATGACGTTTGTTGAGAGAAATAGATAAAAAAAAAAAATGATTCTTAAAATAAAAAATAAATTTTTTAATAATATTTTAGGGTTTATCTGATCGATTTATTTTTTATATAAATGATATACTTGATGAACTTTAAAATATAAATAGTTTAAATTGTCAAAATAAAATTAAAAAATGAGCCTACCATACAAACTATTGGATTTAATCTTAATATCAAACTGAAGACAAATTAAGGGGTTGTTTGGAATAATCTAAATAAATGTACTTTTTATCTTTTTATGGAAAGATGTGTAAAAAAGTAAAGAGGTGACGTGATAAAAAAAAATAAAAAATAAAAATAAATAAATTATTTTATGTATACCAAACTTAGCCTAAATCTATTTTTTTTCTCAATCCCAATTGTTGAGCAATTCCCCCTTATAACATTAAAGTTGACACAAAGTACAGTGTAATGTGCATGAGTGAGCCATGTGACACCCACAGTGTGGTCCAGGCCCATAACCCGATACCCACGATAATTTCAGAATTTATCGCAACAAATCCAAGAGATTAAAAAAAAATAATAATTTAATACATTTTAAAAGAAAGATTTAGTTTTTATATTTTTATAGTTGAAAAAAAAAAAAAAAAAAGGTTAACTGGGGAAAAATTCATTCTCATGTAGTCGTAGTTATCAGAAAAGTCTCCGGCAATCAACAGTTGCCTGTCAGCGATGGCCGATAATGGCGTTGCGGTAATAAAATGAACAAATAGATGAATAGATAAGTGATACGTATACATAATAAATAATTAAATATTTGAACAAATAATTAAATAAATAGGTGATACGAATATAAATTGATATATATATATATATAATGGAATATTTGAACAAATAGTTGAATAAATAAATAAAGAAGATTGATCAATAAATTTTATATTTTGAACTTGTAATCCATATAGTCCCATATTTTTTCTTGTGATCCATTTAGTTATTTTGGATGTGTAATGACTCATTTGCTCGCCATATTCGAGTGTCACATTTGAAAAAAAGTACATTAAAGAGTTTTTAGTATCATATCATACCCGCCACGGTAGAGTGTCACATTTGGAAAAAAATACACTAAATTTTTTTTAATTTTTTTAGAGTGTCACATCATAGAGTGTCACATCATACCTGTCACGTTGCAGTGTCACATGTCACGTTTGAGAAAATTACACAAAGGAGTTCTTAATTTTTTTTTAGAATATCACATTATACCTACTACATTATCACGTTTGAGAAAAGTGCACTAAGGAATTTTTATTTTTTTGAAGTGTAACATCATACCCACTATGTTGTCACATTTGCGAAAAGTATGCTAAGGGGTTTTTATTTTTTTTAGAGTGTTACATCATACCTGTCACGTTGTCACCACTACAACAAATTTGGGATTTAAAGACGAAACAAATTTGTCCCAAAATGTATATATTTCGTCACCCAAACTAATTACGACGAACATTTTTCGTCACCCGTTTTGTCGCCAAAGGGTCGTCGCTAAAGGGTCTTAGAGACGAAAAAAAAAAATTCGTCATTGAAAATGATAAATTTGTGACGAATTTTTTTGTCTCCAATACACTTTGTTGGGAACATACTTGTAAGTAATTAGCGACAAAATATTTTGTCATTAAAGAAGAAATTAGAGACAAAAATATTTCGTCATAAATATAAGAAATAGAGACGAAATAATTTTGTCACGTTTAATATAAACGAAGACGAAAATTTTTTGTCAAAGAAGCTACCAATAGAGACAAAAACAAATTCATCATTAAAAATGATAAATTTGTGACGATTTTTTTTGTCTCCAATACACTGTTGGGAACATACTTGCAAGTAATTAGCGACAAAATATTTTGTCATTAAAGGAAGAAATTAGAGACAAAAGTATTTTGTCATAAATATAAGAAATAGAGACGACATAATTTTGTCACGTTTAATATAAACGAAGACAAAAAAAATTTGTCAAAGAAGCTACCAATAGAGACAAACAAATTCATCATTAAAAATAATAAATTTGTGACGATTTTTTTTGTCTTCAATACACTCTGTTGGGAACATACTTATAAGTAATTAGCGACAAAATATTTTGTCATTAAAGGAGAAATTAGAGACAAAAGTATTTTGTCATAAATATAAGAAATGGAGACAAAATAATTTTGTCACGTTTAATATAAACGAAGACGAAATTTTTTTGTCAAATAAGCTACCAATAGAGACAAAACAAATTCATCATTAAAAATGATGAAATAATGTCAAAAAAAATTCGTCACACATTGAGAGTAATAGTGACAAAATGTGACAATATTTTTTTTCATGACAAATTCATTTAGCGACGAAATAAAGAATTTATGACAAAATTAATCATCCACCTAAGCCAAATAAGAGACAAAAAAACATTCTTTGGGATGGAAAATTTTGTCAATAATTTCATAATATTTTTTTCCACATTATATACCTATTTTATCAAAATCTAAATTTTAGTTCAACAAATATGACCCTGTTCATGTTGAAACCTGTTGAATATAACAATTCCATCACAACTTAACCTACAAATAATTTCATCATGATATAATAAAATAGTGAAATATCCACAAAATATCCAAAAGTTATAACTTGTTCAATTCCACCAAAAATCCAACAATAACTAGTGTAACTCTAAAAAGTATGTGTATCCTTATCAAACAAAAATGAACATTCAAACAAATTACATCATTGTTGCACGTCAAAAATGCCACCCCAATCTAATCTGCAAAAAAATAAATTAAAAGTTTTAGTAATTAATCAATTATACAAAAGATTAAAAACATTAGTAACTCATCAATTTACAATTAGATCAATTATACAATTTATCCCTGTAACTGACTTTTTTTGAGATTATGAGAACAAAAAATTAATTTTAAGGCTAATTCACAAATGGTGCATCCCATTAATGTGCCGTAAGTTCATACAACTTATATTGGTCCCTCCTAAGGTGTTTCTATTGGTTCCTGTACAAATCTGTAGTTGTGTGATAATTTAGCATTTCGACGACCTTTTTTCAAGCTTTAAGTATAGAGAAAAAAATATATTTTTTAGACTAATTCACAATTTATACATCATGTGTACCTGTACAAATTGGATGTCATATGCATGTTTCCATTACTTCCTAATTCTTCAAACATGTATTCTTTTATAAAATTTGTTATAAAATTAGCATTATTCCACATTGTCTAAATTTAACTTCTAAAATGCCCTTAAACTATTCTTAGTTTGGGTCTGTCTGATGTCTGCACACAGCTACACCTGATACTCATGCCCAAGTCCATGAAACATAATTTCCACAACCAACCCTAACTCAGAATCAAATAATGCCCAAGTCTCCCCAAAAAATGACACCATGATGGCAGTCTCTACTCAGACAGAAGGCAGTGCAATGAGTTCAAAATTATAGGAATCTGTAGATATGTCCACACTAAATGCTCATTAACCATCTACCTTACAAAACCACCAACTTTTTTTTTGCATTAAAGAGCAATAAGGACCCCAAAATGAACTGTTTTATCAAGGTCAGAGTTGGCAACATGTGTCCATTATGCTCAATATTAGTATATGTTGTAGAATGAACAGCAAAAGCAAAATTTATATTGCCTTCTTTCAAGATAAGACCAAAGTCGTATCATTTTTACATTTTCCTTTGAACTGGGAATCAATCCTAATGGGATGCCCAGTTTGTAAACTTAATTTTTTTCATTGGAAGTATTTGATCAAGTAGGAGCCTCTTTATCTAGAAAGGTCATCTACCCAAGAAATAAGAGACTCGGGTGGCCAGCTTAAAACTGACATGAGATTTAAAATTTTCAATATCAATCTTGTAGGACAATCTTCACTGTATTTAAAAAGATTTAATTCTGTTGTGTACAAAATCCAATGAGTTAAAAAGCCTATCCAAAATAAAATGACGCTTCTTCAATATGAGCTCCAAAAAGCATGAAGAAAATCAACAACATGATGATATAGGTTATGCACATCATAACATCATGAGAGGGAGAATTATATGACAACCAACACACAAAAGCGCACACAGACTGTACACAAAAACAAGAATTACCTGAATCTACATCAACTACAACAGTATTTCCACGATTTCTTCCTCTCCCAGAATTTATTTTAGCCTGACATGAGATTGAAAAAAATAAAAATAAAAATAAATAAGTAAATAAAAAGATGAGTAAGGCCTTATTTAACCCGTGCAAAAATATTGACAAAATAATACAAAGAGAATTTTAGAAAATGAAAATAAGCGTACTTCTGCAAAAGCCGTACGTGAGGATATAACAACATCATCATCAAATGCCTCAACATCAATTGGTGTAGGCAGTACAGATGGTCCTTGTTGGCCAAATTGCACATCTTGAGAGTTGGCTTGAGCCGAAGTGCCCTCCTGATCCAGGTTCTCACTAGGTGGTACATTGAGGTCCACATCTAGTGCCATCTTCCTACTCCTTGTGTTCCTCACATATCCTCTTAGAGGAGGTCCACTCGACCATCTACTGCTCATGCTATACTTAAAGTGTTTTTTGTTCCAAGACTCACACTCAACAAGCCTGATTGTGCAAAAGGGAACTCCTTCATTAGCAATACATACAATATTCAGTCTTGGCTTTAAAAAAAGGAATTCACTCCCCATTTGGTGCAAATGTCGTCACGTTTTTTTTTCGCTTTAAAAAATGCCCTCCACATCCGATAATTGCCACATTTTTTATGAATTTTTCTCATTCATCAATCCACCCAAACTTAATGTTTCCCTCATTCACGAAATTGCCCAAAAATTTAAATGTAAAATTGCAAGCACATTGTGTTTTGCACCCACCGCTAGTGTATATATCAAATTTCTAGAGAAAAAAATAGGTTTCTTTTGGTTCTCTTTTGGAATTATAATTCCAATCAAAAAAAATTCAAAACTCTTTTCAAAATTCATAAGCAAACACACAACTCAAAACTCTTTTCAAAACTTAAAACCAAACTCTTTTCAAAACTCTATTTAAAAAATAAAAAAAATCAAAATTTTTATTTGTTTTTTAAAATTATTTTTAGAATTATGATTTAAGTGTGAAGTTGAGTTGTGAAAAAAGAAAAATTATTTGGTTATGAGTTTTGAATTATATTTTGAGTTTTGAGTTGTATTTTGAAATTTTTTGAATTTATTATTTTTAAATATGCAACAAATTTATTAATTTTAGTTTTTAGAGTAAATATTTCATATTTTAAATATTTATTTATTTATCTATTTTAATGTGCACTATATTTCATACATTTGTGTGCTGTATTTTTTAAAAATATTTTGTAAATATATAAAAATTTATAAAATTTATTTTATTTATTTTAAATATATAATTTTACTTATAAATACTTTTTGTGTGCTGTATTTTTTAAAAATATTTTAAATATTAAAAATTTTAATTTTTTTGCTATGTGTTTAGTTACGATTTGAGTGTAGAGTTTTGAAAATAGTGTGTAGTTTCGAGGTATGTGTTTGGTTATGAGTTTTGAAAATAATTTTTGAATTGAATTTTGAGTTATGTGCTTGGTTGTGATTTGAGTGCGGAGTTTTGAAAGTAGTGTAGAATTTCGAATTATGTGTTCGGTTATGAGTTTTGAAAATAGTTTTTGAATTGAATTTTTAATTATGTATTTGGTTATGATTTGAGTGTAGAGTTTTAAAAGTAGTGTAAAATTTCGAATTATGTGTTTGAATATAAGTTTTGAAAATAATTTTTGAATTGAGTTTTGAGTTATGTGTTTGGTTACGATTTGAGTGTGGGGTTGTGTTTTGAGTTTCAAATATTAAAATTAAAATATTTACAAAATAAAATAAAACATTTAAAATATTTAAATATTTAAATAAAAATTATATATTTAAAATAAAATATAATTTTTTTAAACAATTTTTAATATTTAAAAAAAATAAATCTCAAAAATTCAAAATACAACTCAAAATTCAAAAACTCAAAACTCTTTTCAAAATTCAAAGACTCTTTTCAAATCATTTTTTAAAACGCTTTTCAAAACTCATAACCAAACAAATTTTCTCTTTTCAAAACTCAACACACAATTCCACACTTAAATCAAAACTCCGCACTCAAATCATAATTCCAAAACTAAACCAAACGAAATCAACATGTTTTGGACTACTTCAATCATGAGAATTAACCAATATATATATATATATATTCTAGTCTATTAAGCGTACACCCTATTTGGTGCGAATGTTGTCACATTTTTTTTTTCAAAAATGTCCTCCACATCCAATAATTGCCACATCTAATAGTTGTTAAATCATATGCCTGGTTCCCTAGAGGAGGTGGAAAAAGGGAGCAGTTTTAGATCTAAGCTAGACAAAGTTTTTTGAAATGTAGTTAGCAGCAGCAGTACCCAATCATGTACTAGCCCTTTTGTGTTGTTTGAGGGGCATAATGGCACAGATATCAGGGGTAATAAGTGCACTTATTTAGAGAGCCATCTTTTGCTTCCCATATACAAATATGTGATTTTTTTTTAACTTATAAATGAAGTCATACACCTAACAAGACCTCCCAATACAGGTGCATAGCAACTATTACATTATGCAACTAGCTTTACCCAAAGGCAACATCAGAGTTGCAAATAATAACATCCTATGAAGCACAGATACTGCAACATATATGTACTTCGTATGGTACTTTGCATACGTACCCTTGGTACACACATGTACCTGCATTTTTTCTTCTCAATTTTTGTCATGCAGTACCTAATATATACCAAGTCGCACCTCAATTGAAATAGTACTTTCTGAAATTAGTTTTATTGGAATTTTATTATTATTATTATTATTTCAAAATTAAATTATGATTTGTATGTTATTTAATATAATAATATTTAATTTTAACCTTTACGTACTAAATGTAAATTGTAAGTTAGATTTTAACCAACAAAATCATTTAATTAATTTTTACAATACTCCAAAAGCAATCGTCAACCTAAATAGTACAAACTGACATCAACTCCATAAAAGGAGAACTACATGCAGGTGCGAGTTAAGAACAAATATTACCAACACATGGAGAGGTGCAACCCTATAGCCTTTCATTTGCACCCAATTACATACACACTCCCACCTGCATGTAGTTCCCCTTTTATAAAACCCTAGATTGCAACAAAGACTAAAAAAAATTAAATTAAATTTGTTCACACTTTTAAACCCTAGTCTTACATGACAATGCCACCAATTTTGAAACTGATCAGAAATTTCTACTTTATTACAATTCGCACTTCCAACACTAACCCTACACAATGGTGTATGAAATTTAACCACCATTACATAATCAAAAATGATTTCGAAAAAAAAAATGTTCAGAAAAAAAGTATTTTGCGACTTTTCACCTCTAACTAACTTACGCGACAAGTAAAAGACCTCCAGAGTTCACTATCATCCCATTTTCACAATCAGATTCAATCTGTACTTGAAATTTCAAATTCAAATACTAATAAGCCATGAATTCCGTACTCATAAACAAATTCAAAAAATTAACACGCACGCACACACAGAAAAAAATTAAAATTAAAAATCAGATCATACGCTTATGTCAGATTGATGAACCATGAACGAAACAACAGACTCCAAATAGTAAATTCAACAACCAAAACAGTGTATAGATTAAAACCCTATCCGATCAAAGGGAGAGAGAAATTCAAAAGAACAGAATGAAATTAGGTTGAAGATCGTACCGATTTCCAATGTTTTCCAATCAAAGAGAGAGGAGAGACAGAAAATACAGAAGCTCTATGTGCTTCGTCTTCTTCCCTCAGGGCTTTTCTTAAAGGGAAGATTTGGGGAAGGAGATCGCAGAAGATTGTTCGGTGCTTTATGTACAGGTTACACGAGTCGGTGAGGGCTCGAAACACTGCCACGTGTCCCAAGTAGGTATGCGATTCGTACACGTACACTACCGTCCATGTTGATGCAGTGTGCGTGCTCTCACACAAATATATAATAGTTGTGCAAATGCTTTTCGCTTTCAAATTTTCTTTCAACTCCCTTCCTTTTTTTTTCAACCGAAAATATTTTGCTTGGTTTCACTATTTTAAAAACATTTTCCAAAAAATTCTATTTTTTATTTTTTTTGTTTTTTTGTTTTTTTGTTTTTATTGAATTTTTTTAATTTTTTTAATAATTTTTTTAATTTTTGAACATACCAAACTTAGATGTATCTAAAAAGTAAAAAATTTGTGAAAAATCTTTTAAAAATTCACTAAATAACAAAAATATACCAGAATTTAGTACAAAATTTATATTTTTATGTATTTATTATTTTTTAAAAATATTTTTTCACAATACATCTAAGTAAGATGCATCTAAAAAAGTAAAAAAAAAAAATATTTAAAATTTTAAAAATGTTCACTAAAAATAAAAAAACTCGAAAACCAAAAACCAAAAACTCAATTTTAAAAAAACTTAATTCAAAAAACTCAAACCAAACACACTGATTAGCACCTCATGAATTATTTTAAACCCCTCATTTTTTTGAACCCTCACATATAAATTTTGAAACCCTTAAAAAAAAAATTTCCCCTAAATAATACCAAAATTATCCTTAAACATTCTCCCATTGAATACACACCCCCACACCTCCACTCCCAAAAAAAATCTCCCTCCCAAAAAACCCTAACAAAACCCACTAAGAAGGAGAAGAGTCTTATCCTTCCTAAAACCCATGAAAAAGAAAGATATTGTCCCTGCCGATTTAACCATTGTCACAGTTGGTATGCTTTCTCTCTCATTGTTTCTTCAAAACTGGAACTACCGAACTTGAAAAAATAAAATTTTTACGAGTGTTAAGAATTTTAACCGTTGAAAGTGTTAACAAGTTTCCATGTTCGGAGCTGCATTCCCGAACAAATAATCTGTGTTCGGGACTGTGTTCACGAAAAAATAAGTAATGTTCAGGCCTGTATTCCTGAACTTGAAAAAATGAAAACTTTTGCCAGCGTTAACAATTTTGACCGTTCAATGTGTTAAGAAATTTCTATGTTCGGACCTACATTCTAGAACATTATTTATTTGTTCGGGGAACATCTTCCTGAACAAATAAGTAATGTTCGGACCTGTATTTCCGAACTTGAAAAAATGAAAATTTTGGTAAACTTTAACAATTTTGATTGTTAAATGTGTTAAGAAATTTTTATGTTTTGACCGTTCAATGTTACCTCCAAAATATTGCCGCCAAAGGATTTTCAAAATTTTGAGGGTGGGTAGGTTTTGAAGATGCAATTTGGAAAAATGAATGGATAGTGATGGAGGTGGGTGTGCTCATAACTCCTAGTTCATGATGTGGTGAGTGTGTCCCAAAGTCAATGATATCCTTTGTAATAATTTTTTTTGAGATTATTATTGTAATAAAAAAAAGGCTAAAAATTGAGGGTTGAAAATAATTTATAGGGTGCTAATAGCAGTATTCTCTTCAAAATATAATAAAAAAAATATTTTTTTTTTCCCTTTTCGTTGAAGAAAACAAAAATCGATCCATGTGTTTATTGGAAACCATTTTACATTTGGAAATTTAATATGGTATTTTTATTTAATTTGAAAATAATTTTAGATGAATAATAAATTATCACGTATAACCCTCTTCTTTTTTTAAAAAATAAAAAAGTTTAACGAATTATTGCTTTTAATAAAAAATAAAAATTAAGGTTTCCTTCTAATTTATTTTAACAAAAATAACTTTTTAACACTTTGAGCCAAATATATCTTTATTCTGTATTTTAATTTCTTTAATTGACAATTGAGATAAATAAAAAAAATTAATAAAATCCACCATGTTTGGTAAATACTAAAAAATGTATGTTTTGTTCTTTTTTTAAAAAAAAATTATATTAAAAAATATTATTGTTCAAGTCCTTATAGTTTAGAAGGATATAATTTTTTTTTATAAATTTAAAAAAAAATTAATAGCGATTAATAATTTGAACACATGTATTTAACACAAATTATATTTAGACCAATAATATTATGACACATGTAAATATTGAACTCATTCCAATCGTAGTAATATAATTTGAAGAAGAATTCACATTTGAAATTTTATTTTATAATTTAATAAAGGATTCAAAATTTAAGGAATGAATATTGATCCCATTCCAATTATAGTAACATAATTTAAGTAAAAATCCAAATTTGAAATTTAATTTTCAGAATATAAAATTAATTTATAAACCAATCATATTGTAGCACGTATTAACAAAAAATTAAACAAAATGAAAAAAAATGAAAAAAAAGAATTACAACTTTCAACCTTAATGAAATGACAATATTTTGAAATTATAATAGTATATAGATAAATCATGGAATATATCATTATTTAAAACTTATGTATTGTGGGATAAATGATTATAATTTTAAATTTAAATTAATAAAATACTTTCCATATTTAGTGCCCCTCAAATTTGAATTTTGAAATGGATTGGTGTGCTTTCTATTTTTTATTTTATATGTTATACTTTCCATTTGAAAGTCATAAATTAAGAGATATTAATTAATTAATTAATTAATATCTCTTAATTTATGACTTTCAAATGGAAAGTATAATATATAAAATAAAAAATAGAAAGTACACCAATCCATTTCAAAATTCAAATTTGAGGGGCACTAAATATGGAAAGTATTTTATTAATTTAAATTTAAAATTATAATCATTTATCCCACAATACATAAGTTTTAAATAATGATATATTCCATGATTTATCTATATACTATTATAATTTCAAAATATTGTCATTTCATTAAGGTTGAAAGTTGTAATTCTTTTTTTTCATTTTTTTTCATTTTGTTTAATTTTTTGTTAATACGTGTTACAATATGATTGGTTTATAAATTAATTTTATATTCTGAAAA